TCAGCCCCTGCCGTTAGACTTTGTCCACCAAGGAGGAAGCAGGGAGGGAGCGGTGCCTGCGCTTCCTGGAGGCTGCCCTCCAGCCAGGCTCTCTGTGGGCTGTTGAGCGCTGTCCCCTTGAGTCCTCATAACAGTTGGAAGAGGCTGAATAAGCAGCAGTTTTGGGACTTGATCTCCATCTGTAAGAAAGGCCTCGCCTCTATGGGATACAGGATACTGGGGCCAAGGGCCTTCCTCCCCTTCTTTTGTCCACGTCCAACGCCTCAGACTTTGTGTGAAGGCAAGGGGACTTGAGTGCTGTGAGAAGTAAGTGAAATGATTCGTTTTCAGAAATACCAAGTAAAAACTGTGCTGTCTACTTAACAATAGGTTTACAACCTATTGGAAATATGTATGACAGCCCCCCTCCCCAAATAATAGAGTCCCAAACCCCTAGACACCTCACTCCCTGGTTCTTCCTCCCCATCTCCAATTCCCGGGCTTTGCAATCAGCATGCACCAAGGGACCGAAGTCTCTGTGTCACCTTAAGGAATGCATATTTGTTCCAATCAGACTACTTTTTGCCTTACGTGGGCATAGATGACTTCTGGGGAAGGCTGTAACCTCTGCAGTACTCAGCCAATGAGGAGCCAGTGGAGTGACTTACAAACTAGGAGATAAATTGTCTGCTGTAACTGCCCCCAGTGTGCCCGTCCGTCAGACGCCCACTCTTGCAGGGGCATTGGTTACAGCCTCACTCCATTGCGCTCAGAGTCTCATGGTCCCTCCTTTCATTGGGTCAGTGGGCTTATTTCTCACAGGTGAGCAGAGTCCAGACCTGCTTGGTCTCTTGATCCTGAATCAAGGGGAAACCTGGCTCACTTGGTCTGACTGCTCACGATGGATCCCGGCTTCTGCTGGGACTCAGTTCCCCATTCTTGGACTGTTTTGGCTGGTGGAGACTGGCCTCAGCTGGCTGAGCACTAAATGGGGCTAATTTCTTTTGCTTCTGAGCATTTGACAAACTAACAATCACCAGACTTACCTAGCTGGTCCCCACAATCCTCCCCCAAAGTCTCTGCTGAGGCAAGGGGCAGGCGGGCCCAGGAAACTGTCGAAGGTCTGTTGGGACAAGGACAGGTTACTTTCCACCTCCTCCGGGAGCCGCAGCCGGAAGGGGAGCCTCACCTCCTCCTGGGGGCTGCTGTCGCCCGCGCCTGTGCTCTTGTGGGTCTACCCTTGGCAGCCTATTGACCCTCCACAAAAGAGATACTGAAGTCAAAGGTGGCTTCTGAGACAGGGGAATGACTGGAATAGGGCTCCCCATGCTCCTAGCTTCAGGTCACATAATCTCTCCACCAACTCACTGCTCCCATCTGGAAAATGGGCACAACTGGCATTGACTTGGCCATCAAAAGGGGTGGCAGGTCTAAGCCCCACAGGCTCCCCTTGGTCTCAGTTCAAACCTTCTCTCCAGGAAAGGTGCTTCTGGCTCCAGCCCCAGTAATCGAACACCCCTCCTCGCCTCCCCACAGGTGGCTTAGATGATGAGAAATAACTCGCGTCAGCGCATTGGCTCCTTGGGCTCAGGGACTGGGGGGGCTCACCTTGCCCCTTGGGCCCAGGTCCCTTTAATGTCCAGATGCTCTAGGACACTTGATTTTATCCTCCCCCTCCCCCTCCCCAGGTAAAGAACGAGACACTGGTCTTCAGAGGGCAACACAGCTTCCCAGGAGCCTTTCAAAGGCTGTGGTGATGACTATGGGGGCAGTGGAGGGAGGAGGGGAGAAGGGGGGGAGGGGGAGAGGGGGAGGAGAGGGAGGAGAGGAGAGGGGGAGGGGAGGGGGAGGGGCAGTGCTGTAGGAAGCCCTTCCAGGTTAGATGGCCTCTGCTCCCACCCTCGCGCACAGGCGGGGCAAGACCCTCACCTTCCAGGTGTGGTGCCAGGTGCCCGGCAGGCTCCACCCCTGCATCAGGGAGTTCTGATGAGGACGCAGCACAGAGAGTCAAGTGGACAGTGGAGGCTGGGGAGGAGGGTGGCCCTTACCTGGCCTCTGAGGGGCAGTGAGTGAGAGGTGCATTGGGAGCCAGTGCAGAGGGAGGATTCAGGGTAGCTGCTGGGAAGGACTTCCACCAGGAAGGCCGATCCCATCACTGGGCAGCTTGACTCCTGCCCTGTGTTGGAGCAGAAGTTGCACAAAATGACCTGGGGAGGGGGGCCTCGCTCCGTCCTTTCCTGCTGCCTCTGCTGCAGGGTGTCAGGGGGCTGGAAGCTGTAACGGCGGGTGACACACAGGGGTCTTCCAAACCCTTTTGGAGGGAAAGACTTTAAGGCCCAAACAAGGCAAAGGACAAGTTCGAGGCCACGGCGAAGAGCTTGCAGTGAAGCTCCAGCCCCAAAGTGCCTGTCTCGGGCCAACAGGCGCAGCCTCCCTCCAGAAAGGGGCAAGGGCTGAGGACGCCCCCACGGTGCCAGCCTGCACCCCTCCTTCCCTCGGCACCGATAGCACCCGCCTGGCCTGTGTTTATTTGCTGCCCCGTGTCCCCCATTTGGTGGCCATGTCCTCAGAGCCAGGACGAATCTGTCTTGTTCATGACAAACCCACAGCGCCTCAGACAGCTGCCTTTAAACACTTACCTGGATAATGACTGGCTCTTCGGCTGCCCCTTATTAGTTATGGGGCCTCAGGCAAGTTCCCTACCTCTCGGGTAACATTTATGCTCTTACTATGTGCCAGGCACTATTTATCTGCCAGTGTTGTGTGTATTAACTCATATAAGCCCCACAGGAATCCCATGAAGTAGTCACCATTATTACCCTTGATCCTCAACACATGAGGGAAGTGGGGCCCAGGGTGGGGGCGTGACCCTGCTTCAGCTCAGCCAGCAGAGCTGGGTGTCACAGGCTGGAGTCAGTGCGTGGCCTAGAACTGGACTAAATGCTGGTACCCACTTCTGTCCCCCCCCATCCCGTTCCTCGTAACCTTGCCTATAAAACAGGGCTAATCACAGCTCTCCCTTTCCTCCCCTCCCCTGCAAGCTCCCTCCCCTGCAGGGGCTGAGTCCTCCAGGAGATGATGCCCAGGCTGGGTCTGGGTGCTGGATGCCCCTGCTGAGGACAAGGTATCGTGAGCTCTATCCACAAGCCATAGGGCTTCTTTCGAGGCCTGGGTGTGCTCTCCTCTCCCCACCTCCCCCTTCCCACCCTCTTCTGAGTGTTGGGCTCTCCTGCTGTGAAACAGGGAGGGGTCTCTCAGACTGAGGGCACGCATGAGGGCATAACGAAGTGATGTGGTTTGTGCCTGCTCCAGCTAAAAATAACAAAAAAGCTGGACAGAATTAAAAAAGCAAACAAACACGTTTCAAAGCGAAGAAGAGCTCACCGGGCAGTAAGAGAAAGCCGAGTCCAAGAGGTGAGCAGGGCGCCGGGTCCCCTCATGCCCTGAGAGCACTGGCCAACCTGAGCCAAGATGACCTTTGGTTTCATGGTCTGTGAAGCCCAGGGTTCACTGAGGTGGGGAGACACAGGGGCGGCCTCCATGACGCCGGGACCCCAAAGGGCTCCACGCTCCGGCTAAGAGCCAGAGGAAACCCAGCCCCTTCCCATCGGACCCTCACAGAACGGAGGGCAGGACACCGACCTTGGGGACGTACACGGGGGACCCTGCAGTGCCTGTAGTGCTCAGGGTGGGGTGCGGGTCGCAGAGAGGTCGGAGGCGTGGCTGTGGAAGGGGCTCTGGGAGTGCTTGCCCTGCTCCCCTTCCTCCAGGCACCCTGCAGATAGATGGTCCGACACCAGGGAGACCAGTGCACAGCTCAGAGTGACCAAGGACCACCGACCCGGAGGGCCAGGCAGGCAGGGTGTCTCAGGCCTCAGGGTCCTCACCTGTAGGTGGGGCGTGCTGAGCAGGTGCTCTCCAAGACCCCCTTTGGCACAAGGGCTCTCTAGGGGTGAGGCAATGTGCGCCCACTTTGCATTCTTCTAGGGTGCTTCTAGGGTGGCTTTTCAGAGTGAAGACGTGGGGGCGCCTATGAGGGGTGAGCCTGTCACCTCCAAGGGGCGCTGGAAGATCAGGGGCGGGCGCTGTGCCCAGTTCCCAACTCTGGGGACAGGCAATGAGGGGGTGGTGTCTGTGGCCAAGACTGGGCCTTTGATGTGTGCATGGATGGGGGGGGTGCAGGTAATAAGGGCCGCCAGGGAAGGAGGCAGGGGAGCCCCTGGGGCATCCTCAGCTTGACCTACTTGGGCCCCCATAATTGCTTCCTTCCCTCCTCGGGAGGGTACAAATAGGGATGTCCTGTCTCGGGCCTCCTGCAGCTGAAACACCAACACAGGGGTGAGTGCCAGATGCTTGCGTCCTGCCCTGCACTGGGTGTCGGGCAGCTCGGGCCGGTCTCCCGGCCCCCGGGGTCTGGGTCTGGGGGCAGAGTGATGAGCACAGCAGGGACCAGAGAGGTGAGGGCAGTCAGATACAGTGAGCTAGGGGTTCTCTGTACCCTCAGGGTTGCACAGAGCTGAGGTCTGCAGGGGTGGGGGTGGTGGGCTAAAAGCACTGCTGTTGGCTGCCCCCTCCACCGCCTTCCTGCTGAGCCTGAGACCAGCCAGGGCTACGCGGGGAAGAGGATTCCCTCCAGTCTCCAGGCACCCACCTCCCGAAAAAGTAAGCGTGGTGTGTCAGCCAGGCTGGCAGGAGCCCAGAGGGGCCGCTGAGCACCTCCGAGGTTGCTTATTCCCTGGGTTTGTGGCCCTTTCCTCTGCTGAGAACCCAGACAGCCCGCTCCGACCCAGGGCTGTCACAGAGACCCAGCCCCTAGCCAGGCTGGCTTCTCACTCCATAGGGCCCAGCAGAGGGGAGTCAGGGAGGAGCCCCGGCCCCAGGCGGGCCTGCTGCCGACTCCTGCGGGGGGAGGGTTAGCAGGGAGGCCCAGGGCTCCCGCGGGAAGAGCGCTGCCTTCCTGGCTGCCTCAGGGTTTCCCCAGGCTGGAAGCAGCCTCCCAGAAGGTGATGGGATTGGGGGAAGGTGGTCAGTTCCTGGGAAGGCTGCCCTTCTAACAGAGCGAGGTGTTTTGTGCGGAGCCTTCGGTCTCCAGACCCCCAGGGAGCGGGGAGCGAGCTTCAGGTAGTGCAAGTCACAGACTGGTGAATGCCTGAGCTGGCTCTCCCCGCACACCATCTGGTCAGGTCCCCGAGTAGCCTGAGAGGTGGGATTAACTTCACTTTACAGATGAGGCCCCTGACACCCCGCAGTGTAAATGGCTCATCTGGCGTTGTGTGGCTGGTTAGATGCGGGGAGGCGGGGATCCCGGGTTTTCCTTTGGGTGCAGCTTCCCTGCTTTCAAGGGAGGGGTGGTGGGTGAGGGAGGTGGTGGTGAGGGGGTGGGGGTTCCTCTAGACCTGACCCTCCCTGAGAATGCCTGGCTTCTCCAAGGGCCTGAGGAAGGGGGCACAGGGCAAGGGTCTCTTCATGCGATTTCCTATGGAAGGAGCTGGGATCCTTTAGGCCAGGGGGCTGTATCTCGTGGGTGGTTGGGGCCGAGCCCTTCCTGGGTGTCAGGGATGACAATAGGTCGAGAACTGGGGGGTCCTCAGGGATCTCCAGTATGGGGGTGCAGTTGGGGGATGGGGCGTTCTCCCTGAGGGTTCTGCAGTGACGTTAGGGCAAGGAGATCTCTGCCAGGAGAATAACAGTGGGGGCAGTGGGGCGGGGGGCTCAGAAGGGGCTGGAGTGGTGAGGGAGGGTTGCTCAGCGGAGGTGGAACTTGTGGGGCCAGAAGCTGAGGGGAGATGAAGACAGGTCGGGGAGCAGCCCCGGGGAAACACACAGGCAGAGGTGCCCTGGGCCTCTGGGGTGAGTCAGCCCTTGTTCTCTGACAGTGAGGATGGCCACACCTCTGGAGCAGGCATTGGCTGCTGTCATGTGCACCTTCCAGAAATACGCAGAAATCTCAGGGGACAAGCACCGGCTCTGCCAGGCAGAGCTCAAGGAGCTGCTACAGAAGGAGCTGCCCACCTGGACCCCGGTGAGCCCCCGGGGGGCCAGGCTGCCTGGACCCTGCAGAGGCAGCTCTGGGGGACACAGGCAGGCTGTGGGCCCTGTGCCCTCATCTGTGATGCGGGAAGCCTTTGCAGGGCTGCTGGGGGACTGAGTCCCAGCACTGTGGAGAGTTCCCGACACATAGTAGGCACTCAGCCGCAAACAGGGGCGTCTGGGAAGGCGGGTTCAGGGGAGGTGTGGGAGCACCAAGGAAGGGAGCAGGGGCGGGTGGCACGCTCCCTCCTCAACCCGCCCCCCCTGCACAGGTGGGGCTCCGGGAGTGTGACTACAGTGCATTCATGAGTGTCCTGGACACCAACAAAGACTGTGAAGTGGATTTCGTGGAATACGTGCGCTCCCTCGCCTGCCTCTGCACCTTCTGCCACGACTACTTCAAGGACGGTGCCCCTGTGACCCCCTGCTCCCAGTAGGCTCTGCCCCCGAGGCCAGGGGCTGTCCCCCCCCCCCCCCCCCCCCCCCCCCCGTCCTGCACCCCATTCCACCCTGAATAAAGTGCTGGTGTCACGTGGTCTGGTTTGCTTCTTCTGAGAGGACAGCGGGGCCTGGGGACCGAGCCTTCCCTCTTCTCTGGTCTGGGGGCAGGGCCAGCCTGCCAGAAGCCTGCTCTCCAGCTCTGGCAGGAGGGGCGTCAGTACAAGGACAGCGTCCAGGGGCTTGGGGGGTCTCTTTCTCCATCTCTCTCTGGGGCCTTGGAAGAAGAAGCTCCCTTGGGCTGTGAAGGAGGACGCCAGGGCAGCCGGGGGAAGGAGCCCAGACCTCAGCCAGGCTGCTCTGAGGAGGAGGGTAGGGGTGGGGCCTAGGGTGGGGCGGGCTTTTCCGGCCTGGCTGTGGGAGCCCAGAGAGCAGAACTGATAGGATTAGGGTGCTTGAGGCCTGACTAGGGTATTGCTCTTGGCCAGGGGGGTGTGCCCTGCATTGGAGGGGGAAGGGCACAACCTGAGACAGACCCCAGCCCTGATGCCGTAGCCACTTGAAGGTTGATCTGGGTTCACACCCCACTCTGAGAAGGTGGCCCCGTTCCCTGCTTTCCGTTTCCTGCGATTGCTCCTCCGACTTTCCACGCATCCTGCATTCTTCATCCTAATAGCATTCCAGCTCCAGAAGCCCTTTCCCAACACCCCCCTCCCCAGCCTCTCTGGGTACCTGCAGCCCATCCCTGAGCCCCACACTAGCTCCCACTCCATCACCGCCTCACCCAGGACCTTTATCCACTGACATGCCTGGGGTGGTCCCAGCAGCAACTTTGGGTGCTGGTCTGTTCCTCCTCCAGACCCCCAGGCCCTGCTCTGGGCCTCACTCAGCAGGGCAGAGAGCCTTTTGGAGAGGGGCCAAGGGCAGCCAGCACTGTACTGCAGCCCCCAGCCTGGAGTCCCCTCCTCAGGTCCTGGGCAGCCACGTTGCGAGGGCAAATTTTGTTTAAGATTTTCTTTTATTTTCTTAAGCAGGCTCCACCCCAACGTGGGGATCACACTCACAACCCTGAGCTCAAGAGCTGCCTGTTCTACCAACTGAGCCAGGCAGACGCATTTTCCCTCACCTCCCCCGTAAGCACCCCCTTTTCTAGCCGTCCAGTGGGACCGCCCAGTGGGACCGCTTCCTCCTGGCCCCCCACACCCACGGCACAGACTTCCTCTAGCTCCTGAAAATTCAGGTTGTGCTGTGCCACTGGGGGTGCCCACCCTCCCAAGAGCCCTGCCTGTGTGGGCTCCCTATTGTCCAGGGCGCCGACCCGGGGCAGGGAGCCGGTGTCCAGCGGGGCTGGTGGAGGGGCCACCGGAGGACTGTCTCTCACTCTTCCCCAACCCCTGCCATGGGCAGGGCCTGGCCAGGGTATAAATAGGACAGACCGCTGGGCTCTCCCCACTCTGCCTCCCTGCTCACCCTCTCTTCTCGTCTCCTCCTCTCAGCCTGGTGAGTCGTGGTCTCTGGACTAGCACACAAGGGTGTCAGGCCCGGGGCGGGGGGGAAGGGGGGCAGGCTGGGCAGAAGGAGTGCTTGGTGGGGGCCAGGTGTGCCGAGATTCCGATGTGGAGGCCCTCGGGTGTGCGTGTGCGTGCGTGTGCGTGTGTGCACCTGCGTGCGTGCACGTGCGAGAGGGGAGAAACCACAAAAAAAGAAGTGCAGGTGGCTAGATTTGACCGGGCTGAGCAGCAGTGCTGAGATGCTGGGTTTTGCACATGCTGCTGCTGTAGTATGTGATGGTGTGTGTGTGACACGTGCGTGTGCACGTTGGCTTGTGTTTGCTGGTTGCACAAGCCTGTGTGTGCACGCTCGAGTGTGGGGAGCCAAGTGAAGGCAACTGTGGCCGTTTGTCTGGTTGTGTCCTCTGAGCTTCTGCCCTGCACCCAGCAGCCCAGCCAGAGGGAGCTTGCCGCCCCACCCCTCCCCTGCATCCCTGCCTCCGCCACCTCACCCCACCCCTCCCTACTCTAGGGCTAGGCTGCTGGGTTTTTCCGCTGCAGGCCCCTGGGCAGGCCTCCAGCAGCCCCAGGGTGTGGCTGCTGTGGTCACGGGAGGCCTGAGCTAGGGGTGGAGCCCTTGGTGAGGCCCAGCCCGAGGGAGGCTGGGGAATTTGCTCCCTGAAGCACACATTTCCCACTGTGCATCTTCCCCACCAGGAGCTGAGCCCCTCCCCTCTCCCCCCACCGTCCTGGGGTCCTCCTCTTGTGGGAGCGGAGTGTCATCGAGTGCTCCCTGAGGGATGCGAGTGGGCTGAGACATTCTGATGTTCTGAATACAAAGCTGAGGGTGGGGATGGGGAAGATAAGGGTGTCTCTGGGACCCTGTCCTCAGATCCCGACTCCCACCATGGCGTGCCCCCTGGAGAAGGCTCTGGATGTGATGGTGTCCACCTTCCACAAATACTCGGGCAAGGAGGGCGACAAGTTCAAGCTCAACAAGTCAGAGCTAAAGGAGCTGCTGACCCGGGAGCTGCCCAGCTTCTTAGGGGTGAGTGGCTACTGCCTGGGAGTGTGCCTGGTGTGCCCCTGCGCCTCGGAGAAGGGGCAAGGCCTGGGGCGGGGGCTGTGGCCGCAGCAGGCATCTGTCACTGCTGCGGGAAGCTGGGGCACAGAGCTTGCCCTGGCGGCCTGGCTGGAAACAGCGCGCATCCACCACTCGTTTCCTAGAGCCCAGCAGGAACGAGGCTGGCAACGAACAGGTGAGTTCAGGCCAGACTCTGCCTGGTGCTTTGCACACTTAACTGAAGGGAAATGCAAGCCCAGAGAGGCTAAATAACTTCCTGAGGCTGTCAGAGTGCAAAGCTGAGACCCACGAGTCAGGACTGTGCTGAGTGTGGAGCCTGGTTGTGATTCTCTCTCTCTCTCTCTCTCTCTCTCTCTCTCTGCCCTTCCCCAGCTCGTGGGAGGAGAAGCCGAGGAAGGGCAGAGGGAGAGAGAGAATCACAAAATAAACAAATAAACATTGTACATTACTTTTGAGACTATCGTCTGACTGGATTCTTGAAACAACCTTGCGGAAGACATCGTGGTCCCCTTCTCCAGCTGCGCCCCGATACTCAGGCTTCCTCACCCCTCCCTCGGTTGACCTTCTGCGGCCCCCGCTTGGCCCCTGAGAGCCCGAAGCGGGAGCCCCAGGGCAGGCCTCCGGGGAGTGGCTGCACTCCTGAGCTCCCATCCGGAGATGGAAGCCCGGTGTAGACTGGCTCCATCCCAGGCTTTGTGGTTCTACCTGTAGCCTCTTCCTTGCAGAAAAGGACGGACGATGCGGCCTTTCAGAGGCTGATGAGCAACCTGGACAGCAACAAGGACAGCGAGGTGGACTTCCAGGAGTACTGTGTCTTCCTGTCCTGCGTTGCCATGATGTGCAACGAGTTCTTCGAAGGTTTCCCGGATAAGCAGCCCCGGAAGAAGTGAATGCCTGTCATGCGGGTGGGGGGCCTGCCAGCTGGGGTCTCACCGGTTGGCAGTGGCCACAGGGCCTTACCTTGGCACCAGCAGGTGTGTGCACGATGTGGACAAGTTCAATAAAGATTCTTGGAAGCTTTGAGGCTGATGGTCTGAGACTCTGGCTATGAGGTGGGGGCTGAGGGGTGTGTGGGGTGGGGAGCCCTGGGTGTCGGCAGCCATTCTGTGGAGAGCTGACTAGTGAAGGAAGGAAGGGGTGATTGGAAGGGCGATCACGTGCTTGCACGCATGATGGAGCTGACTGAGGGGCCGAAGGCGGGGAAGCGAACCCTACAAGGCATGGAACATCCAGCTGAGGGGTCTTAGCCAGCACACGGGCCCCTCCCACCCCAGGCTTGCCTCTGGAGGGACTGGAGGTCACATCTGCTCCCGGCTGAGGTCTGGGATGGAGTCTGGGCATGCCCGGGTGGGAGGGGTGGGGAGCCCTGAATCAGGAGGCCCCTCCCCTGCCAGGCCCTTCCGCCCTTGGGGTGGGGAGGCCACACCACTGCAGCAGGCTCAGAATATCACCCTCTCAACCTCTGTTCCTGCCCCCACAACCTGGGATGAGGGCTGTTATCGCTTAGCATTCTGGTCCTTCCGAGAAGGATGAAGGACCTCAAAGGGGCGAGGGGAGGGAGGAAGTGAGGGGGCTGGGGGAGGTGGCCATAATTTTGGAGATGGAACTCCGGACACGTAATCTGATAAATGAAGTTGGAATTTTCCTTCCCCCAGAAAATGTCAGTCATGATGTTACTTCCCTTCAGATTAAAGGCTGGTGGGTGGGGCACCTGGGTGGCTCAGTCGGTTTAGTGCCTTACGGTTGGTGGGTTCGAGCCCCGCGTCGGGCTCTGTGCTGACAGACAGCTCAGAGCCTGGAGCCTGTTTCAGATTCTCTGTCTCCCTCTCTCTCTGACCCTCCCCTGCTCACGCTGTCTCTCTCCCTCTCTCTCAGAAATAAGTAAAACATTAAAAAAAAAAAAAAGTCTGGTGGGTAACTGAAGCCACACTGGTGGCCAGCCTGGGTGGTCTGGGGCCTCTAAGAAGGAGGGGGTAAAGTTGTGTCCAGCAGGGGGGGATTTTGGCTCCCCCGACCGAAATTTCAAGCTTTCTCCTTTTCTTCTCGTTACACTGTGTTTTCCTCTCGAGCGTCAGAGGAATGGGGCAGGTGACTCAGATGTTCCCCGAGTGTGACTGCAGAGGCCTGGGTAGGATTTTGGTCCAGGAAAATGCCTGCCTCCTCCCCTTCTGTCTCCCTCTGGCTGCCTTATGCCCTCCCTGGAGCCTGCTTCTGCATCACTCAGTTTCGGAAACTCCGGTTGCTCAGCGACCAGTCCCTGCTGCCTCTCCAGCCCGGCCAGCTGGGGGTGGGGCACGGTGGGGCGGCGAGGGACTCCCAGGCAGGCCAGGGTGGGGCTGCGGCACCCACAGGTGCGAGCCCCTAACTTGGCTCTGCTCTGACATGTGAACTGCTGGGAGAACAATGTCTCTCCCGAGATGCAGGCAGCTCCCCCTGACTCTTGCCCCAATCATTCCTGCACCCTGAACCCGCTTCCTCAATCCACAGACTCTGCCCCCTCACTGGGCCCTACCTCTCCCTGGGTCCCTTCCTCCTCCCTGATTCCCAGGCTTCCATTCCAAGTCTTTGACCATTCTTTCCCACGAACATGAGTGAGGTTTAGAAGAAATCATTCATTTAAAAGCCGTTTAAAAACTTTAGGCTCCTTGGGGCGCCTGGGTGGCTCAGTCGGTTGGGCATCCGACTTTGGCTCAGGTCATGATCTCACGGTTCGTGGGTTCGAGCCCCACGTCGGGCTCTGTGCTGACAGCTTAGAGCCTGGAGCCTGTTTCAGTCTGTGACTCCCTCTCTCTCTGACCCTCCCCTGCTCACACTCTCTCTCTCTCTCTCTCTCTCTCAGAAATAAATAAAAATAAAAAAAAAATAAAAAGAAAGAAAGAAATAAAACACTAAAACAAAACCAAAAAAACCCCTTAGGTTCCAGGGTGCCTGGGTGGCTCAGTCGATTAAGCGTCCAGCTTCTCAGGGCATGATCTTGCAGTTTGTGAGTTCGAGCCCCACATTGGGCTCTGTGCTGACAGCTCGGAGCCTGCAGTCTGCTTCAGATTCTGTGTGTGTATCTCTCTCTCTCTCTCTGTCTCTCTGTCTCTCTCTCTCAGCCCTTCCCCTACTCACTCTCTGTCTCTCTCTCTCTCAAACATAAATAAACATTAAAAAAAAACCCAAGACCTTAGGCTCCAGACTCACTAATGACCTTGACCACACCCTTGGCAGGAAACATTTTCCCTTCCAATTTCCATCTCAAGGTGTATCTGCTCTGCTCCTGGTGTGGATGGGAGGGCCCCAATGTGGAGAGTGACCTAGGGCACGAGGAGATACCCTGTGTTTGGCTCATGCTTCCTGGGTCTTTTTTCCAGGGCATTTGGTTTCTCTTCCACCGTGTCGTCCCCTCAGATTGTGAGTGCTGATTTGTGGTTGGGGAAACAAAGTTTCTGGGACTGAAGGTGTGTGTGCCATGATGAACTCAACGTGCCCCCCTCCCCTCTGCTTGGAAACAAGGAAGGTGAGGTTGGCAGAGGGTGGGTTCCTCCCCAGCCCCACCCCAAGAGGCTCTGACCTGGGCCTTCTTAGGTCCCTGCCCTTCTCATTGGCTCCTTCCCTCCCCTGGGGACCAGAGCAAGGGAATAAAGGCAGGGAGCCGTGGCAGGGAGCCTGCTTCTGCACGTTGTCTGCTCTTTCCTTCCCTGGTGAGTCCTTCCTTCTCACCTCCTTGCTCATCTATACGGTGGGGCAAGCTGGGTATTGAGGCCAGAGGGTGACAGGCTGTGGTGACCACCAGCAAGAAGGCCCAGCCTGATGAGTGGGCATGTGCTCAGGAGGGAAGGTGGAGCCTGGAATGGTGGCCGTCAGAGTTTCTGGAGAAGTGGCTCTGGACATGGAGGTGTGATCAGAACCATCTGGGATGCTGCTGCAGAGGCCCAGAGGCCCTTCCCTCCCCTGTGGCCCTGGAGTCTCCTGCAGCTGGGGAGAGGCTGAGTTTTTGGGGTGGTAAGAGGTGAATGGTAGATCCAGTTCAAGAATCACAGGGTGGGCTTTGGGCTGAAGATGAAGCCAGATGCTTCTTCCTTCTTGCTCTGGACGCCACACAGATTTACCTGGAGCCCCCAGGTCCCTTGGGTGTTGTTGGGCCCATTCAAACCCAGCCTCTGGATCCAGCTTTCAGAGTGATCCTGGAGGTTCCAACAGGCCCCCCCCCCCCCCCCCCCCACCCCTGCTGCCAGTCTGTGTGTGCAGTTCTCAGGGCCAGAGGCTGGAGACCAGCTGGACAAGTCCAATGCCCCCCCCCCCCCCGCCCCCGGTTTCCTGGGGAGACTTTATCTCCCGGCTTCAGCCCCAGCCCCCTCCAAGCCCCGGACCCCCTCTTTGCCCTGCCCTCCGCTTCTACAGTGGGACGCTCCCCGCCATCAGGTGATCCGGGCAGCCAGGCCAAGGAGGGCGATTAGGGCGAGGGCTGCCTCTGGCTAACAAGTGCTGCGCTGGGCCCTGGACCCTTCTCGACCCTGTCATCTGCCTCCAGCTGGTCTTTTGGGGAAGTCCTCTTGTCATCTGTCCCTAGAGCCCTCTTCCGGCATCTTCTAAGCAGGAGAACGTGCAGGCTTCCTTGGGGGCTGGTGAGTCTCATGGCCCCGGCTCTTCCAAGTTTGCCTTGGGTCTGACAACCTGTCCTGGCACATTTGGGTTCACTTGCTGGTAGATTTCTGTCTTATCCAGGGTTCCAGTTTCTGGTCCTTTAGAGAAAGCCTGGGGGCTGGGCTGGGCTGGGGAAGCAGAAGGTCTGGCTTCCTGAGGATGGTGATGCTCCTCTCCCCCGTCACCCTCCAGAGCCACACACTGATGGAGACACCTCTTGAGAAGGCCCTGACCACTATGGTCACCACTTTCCACAAATATTCGGGGAGAGAAGGCAGCAAACTGACCCTGAGCAGGAGGGAACTAAAGGAGCTGATCAAGAAGGAGCTGTGTCTTGGAGAGGTAGGTGACTGTCACCCCCACCCCAAAGCCCAAGTGCTCCCTGAGCACCCGCTGGGGGAGAAGGAAAAAAGGGGAAGCACTAGGTCACTGTCAAGGGCTCCCCTCCTGTGATATGGGAAGCCCAAGCTGCGGCTCACACACCTGCCCTCCAAGTGCTCGAGTCTCAGCTGGGAGCAGGATGGCCAAAGGGAACAGTCAGAGACCTGAGGCAGAGGGTGGACATCCTGGGCCAACAGAGGCAAGCACTCTATGCTGGAAGATGAGTCGTGTTTCACTGGGAAGGAGGAAGGGCGGTGTCCAGAGGATGGACTGCAGCCTGTATGAAGGTCTAGAAGTCAGAGAGCCTTCTGGGTTGAGGCCAGGCCCATGCAGCCATGGAAGAGCCTTTGTGAGGGATCGTGGGGAGTGAGGCGCCAGGGTGTCCAGCTTGAGCTGGGCTCAGCTCAAGGCCAGGGCCTCCACCTGATTGTCCTGGGTGCCTGTGCATCCCGGGCTCTCGCTGGCACGGACACGGGGACAGAAGGGGTCATTCTGCTAGTCTGTGAACACAAGGCTGGAAGGAGACAGATTGCTTCTTGCCACATGGAGAAGGTGGGAGGTAGCTGACCAGGGTGGGCGGGGCGGGAAGGCCTATGAGGAAATTATTATATTATTTTTACAGTTAAAAACAATAGAGGTTCAGAAACATTATCCAGCTTGTCTGAGGACGCTAGTGACAGGCGAGTCCTCCCTTTTTCCTTGAAAATCCAGTGTGGGGTCCTTTCTGGTTGCATCCTGAACTTTGGTGGGCCTCCCCAGAGAGACTGAGTGTGTGGCCCTTTGGGCCGTGACTGGAGCAGGTGTGGGTATCACTAAGCCTGCCCTCTCCTTTCCTGCCAGAGCGTCTGCATCCTGGAGTTAATGAGGGCAACGGAATGGGCGTGGGTCCCTCAGGGGTTAATTACAGGGCGACAGAGGCCCTGGGGAAGGCCTGACTTTAACAGGAGCCCAGACTGGGGACAAGGATCTCGTCACAGGGAGGCTGCTTCCATCGCCATTTGTCCTGACCTCTGTCTCCTGTGGGAAAGTGGGAGCTGAAGGCAGTGAAGAGGGGAGGGCAGAGTGTGTCTGTGTTTTCTTCCTGTGTCACCTGAGGGCCCGTCTCCACCCTCTTGGTGGAACAGGGCTGGATGAGCAGGGGGCCAGACAGAGTGTGGCTGAGCCTGTCCACACGGCTGGGCTGCAGGCTCTCCCCGCAAGGGAAGGCTGGGGCGGCCCTGGGGGTGGAGATGTTCAGAGTGCTGCTGACCCCGCTGGGGATCACCCTGAGGCTGCCCCGAGGGGGGGGGAGCGGGGAGGGGGTGCTGCAGTGGTGAGGCGGGGCCAGGCAGGGTGGCTGACCTATCCCTCCCTCTGGGCTCCTGAAGAAGATGAAGGAGAGCAGCATTGATGACCTGATGAAGAGCCTGGACAAGAACAGTGACCAGGAGATCGACTTCAAGGAGTACTCAGCACTCCTGAGCACTCTGTGCATGGCCTACAATGACTTCTTCCTGGAGGACAGCATATGACCGGGCTCCGCCCGCTGCCCCTGGCCTTTGCAGTTCCTCTCACAGACCCTCTCTGGCCCTTGCTCTCTTCTCCGTTTGGGACAGGCCCTGCTTCAGCCTTCCCTTCCAGCAGGGGAAATAAAGCTGTTTGATTCCAGGCTGGTTTTGAAGATATCCTGTCCACCTCGGCCGGGGGGGTGTGGGGCAAGGCAGAGCCTCTCCTCCAGGGGGCTGACGGCCTCTGGACTTAGGGTCCTGGGCTCCCACCCCGCTTCCTGCCCTTCTTCAGTGGGGATGTCACTGAGTTTACTGAACTTAGTTTTGTGCTTCCAGAAAATGCGGAAGTTGGGCCAGGCTTTCACTCGCCTCCCTGAGAAAGCTAAGGGAAGTGCTTTGAGAGAGAACACTCGGGGGAGGGGGAGCAGGGAGGCTGGGGTGTGGCTCCTGAGGGCAGTGGTGGACAAGCCAGTCTGAGGCCGCAGGAGGCCACCCTGACAACACCCCACCCCAGCCCCCTTTCTGTCTCTCCCATTTCCCTCTCAGCAGCAAGCTCCCCCCCCCCCAATTATCTGTGGGGCCAGTGCTTTCTGCCTTCCCGGCTTCCCCTTATGAAAGTCCCTTCTCAGGAGAGGATCTGGAAAACCTTTCCACTGGAGCGTAAATAACTAAGGCAAGGGCCAGTGTGCACACTAGCGGGCAAGGCACTGCAGGCAGAATTCCGGGCGGGGTGCGGGGGTGCGGGGGTGCGGGCTGGTGAGGGAGGGGGCGGGGGGAAGAAGGGTTGTGAGGGCGGTGGTGGGAACTTTCGCTGAGGGATGGGTGCTGTAGATGCCGGTTAAATCATACCCTACAGGCCACTGCCGGCCCCTCCCTCCGCCATCTAGGGTTGGCCCTGCACACCCTCTGGGGACCCCCGCCCCCTGCCCCGGGGGGCTCGTTGTCCCTGGCTGGCGGCGGCCTTCCCCAAGATCCCCGTTCTTCCACCGGCTCTTCCGGCCCCAGAACCCGGAACAGCCCCGGGCAGGAGGCGCGGGAGGCTGGGGGACACCCCCCCCACCAGGTGTGTGGTGTAGACGCCCGACGCCCAGCGGACCTCGGTGGGAGGGCAAGGTGGGGTGGAGGCGGGACGGACCTGGGGGCGGGGCGGAGGGCGGGGCGGGGTTGGGGCCCGGGGCCCGGAGGGTGGGCTCTGGCCGGCCCGGCCTCCGCTCCCCAGCCGCTAAAAGGCGCGCTGGACGCCGCCCCGCAGGTCCCTCGACGCTCTCCCAGCCGCGCGGTGAGTCCTCGCGGGGCCGCCCGCCCTGGGGTGAGTCCGCCGGGCCGGCGGGCAGCTCCCCCGCGTGCGCCCCGGGCTGCGGGAGGGTGCGCCCCGGGAGCGCCAGCGCCGCGGGTGTGCAGCACCCCCTCCCCATAGTCCCCAACTCCTGGAGCCCCCGGAGGACGGCTCTCAGCTGGGGTCCCGTTTGCCCCTTGACCACCTCTCCCCCGGGACTGAGGTCCGCCTCCCCCGCCCTCGAGCCCTAGGCGGACCCCTGACTCCAGGGAGGTTGGGGCACAGCGGTCTGAGGCAGGATGGCGGGGACCCAGCTCTGGGGTATGTGGGTGGTGGGAAGGACCTGACCACCCTCTCGGCCCCCAGCTCCGAGCCCAGCGCCCAGCCATGGCGTGCCCCCTGGACCAGGCCATCGGCCTCCTTGTGGCCATCTTCCACAAGTACTCGGGCAGGGATGGCGACAAGAACACCCTGAGCAAGAAGGAGCTGAAGGAGCTGATCCAGAAAGAGCTCACCATTGGCCCGGTGAGTGGGTCTCCCCCAGGGCCCTCCTCCCTCCCCTTTAGAAGCAGGGTTAGGAGAAGGGGAGGTGCGTGGGACTCAGGCGTCCGCGTCCTGGAGCCCAAGTCACATGTGACACTGGGACCATGGGTCATCCCCCCTCCCCTGGCGGGGCTGGGGGAGACTGGCCTGGTGCCCCCTGCGTGAGGTGCAGGAGAGAAGTAACACCAAGTGAGCCCAGGGTGGACAAGCCAGCAGGAGCCACTTGTATGAGGGAGGGGCGAAGGGAGAGAACCGGGGGTCTCATCGCCATTGAGTCTGGATTTCCCGTTCTAACGTGTTAGAAGCTGCAGGATGCTGAGATTGCAAAGCTGATGGTCGACCTTGACCGGAACAAGGACCAGGAGGTGAACTTCCAGGAATATGTCACCTTCCTGGCGGCCTTCGCCTTGATCTACAATGATGCCCTCAAGGGCTGAAAATAAATCAGGAAGGGGGAGACACCCTCTGTCGGGCCTGTCTAAGTGCAGTGGTGGGTAACTGTTCAATAAATATCTTCCTTGGTCAAGTCGGCCTCTGTGTCCTTGCTTCCTTCTCTGTCGGTGCCGCATCAGCCATCATAGAGTTTGCTCACGGTCACCCCTGGGAGTGGCTCAGATGTCCCGTGCCTGGGACCACCCTCACAAGGCTGCTACTGGCTCACTAGCTCATAAGGTGCCTTTACGTCAGTTAGAAAAGGGTCTCACTCAGGACGAAGGCATCTTAAGGAAGACTCAAGTGGTGCCCAGTAGAGGCGGTTCTGGGATGGGAGTGCGGAAGGGAATGGTGCCCGAGCCGGGCTGTGCTAGGTCCAGAGGCGGGCAGAGGTAGCCTGGTCCGGTCCCCGGCGGCAGAGACCTGTTTTGCTCCGGAGTGTGCTGAGAGGAGAAGGGCCATGGGGTCGGGCCGGTCCACCTCGTCACCGCAGTGAGGTGGAGCAGAGGGAGAGGGCCCGGCCGGCCCAGAGCTTGGCTGGAGAGTGTTCTGAGGCCCCGGAGGACGCTGTATGGCTGAGTCCACAGCAGCTGCCCATGGCCCAGCTGGAGCTGGGGGGCCTACTTTAGGAGTCTGTCCTTGTATGTATTTGGGTACAGGGTCTTTTGCGTTGGGGGTGGTGATCTGAGGAGCATGCACCCGCAGAGACATGAGAACCAGGGGTGCTCACGAAGGGGGCAGGGCGGGGGTCCCTGGGGCTGGGGCCACCTGCAGCTTCAAGCCTTTCAGTGAGTACTGAGCGGGCCCACCCCTGCAGCCTCAGCAGAATGACTCACGCAGCCACCGTTATTTCACGGAGCCCGGCCTGGCTCTCAGCCCCCGTCAGGGAGGGCGGCTAGCTGAGCGACTGAGTCCGTTGTTCGCATCTGTGAGTTCAGGGGTGGGGTAGGGGTGAGCTGTCTGTCACTGCTCTTGCCTCTCCTGGGCTAGTCAGAGCCAGGCACGCGCCTCTGTTGCGGGCACCCCAGGCGGAGACCACGTTCCCCTGCCTTCCCTGGGGGCCCGACTTGGTAGCGCGTCTTCCTTCTCCGCGGGGCGGCGGACCCGTCCGGAAAGGGCTAGCAGCCCCTCTTCCGTCGTCCCCTGCCGGGGGCGGGGGGCGATCCCGGGCCCCCCCGAGCTCCCAGCGCCGGGTGGGCGCCGCCGCGTCCGCGCCTTGCTTGAACAGATCGGCTCCCTCTGGAAAAGCGCCTTCTCGCGGCCAGCGGCCGGCGACGTGGGGCGCGGAGCCTGCGCCCCCGTGTGGGCAGAGAGCAGGCTGCTGCGGGCCAGGGGGCCGCGGGGAGCCCTGGGCAGGGCGCGGGGCGGGGCCCGCAGCTCTGGGCCGCAGGGCGCCTTCTCCGGAGGACGGAGACGGGACTCGGCCGCGCTGGGAATGTCAGCGGGGGGCCTTTTGGCTCCAGCAACTGATTCCCACATAGAGCCCTTCAACTTTGCCCAAGACAAACCTGCGTAGTCCGTGAAAGAAAGGCGACGAATAGAATTTGAACCCGCACCTCCTCTTCCTCTTTTTCGGAGGCGGGAAGACTCGGTGCAAAGAGGGCGGCGGAGCTGTCTCAGCGGGTGAGGCCCCCAGCGTGGGGAGGAGCTGCTCAGGCCAGGCTCAGCCCCGCATTTCTGGGGAGCCCTGGTGGCTGGAGGGTGCACAGGCCACCTGCTAAGTAAACGGGCATACGTCCCCCGGCGTCTGCTTCTCTACAGTAATGGAGAGAATGGGAACGCGGATTTAAAAAATAAAACAAACCCCAAATAAATAGCAAAACTTTTTGTTTGCTTTGAGAGTGTGTGTGTGTGTGTGTTTATATATATATATATATATATTTTAAGATTTCATTTGTAAGTAATCTCTACCCCCAATGTGGGGCTTGAACTCACAGCCCTGAGATTAGGAATCTCAGGCTTTACCCACTGAACCAGCTAGGCACCTGAGGGTATGATTTTAAAGGTCTTTAGGGGCTCCTGGGTGGCTCAGTCAGTTAAGTGCCTCAGCTCTGGTCATGATCTCATGGTTCGTGGTTTCCAGCCCTGCATTGGGCTCTGTGCTGACAGCTCAGAGCCTGAAGCCTGCTTCAGATTCTGTGTCTTCATCTTTCTCTGCTCATGCTCTGCCTGTCTCTCTCAAAAATAAGTAAACATTTTTAAAAAAAAATTTTGGGGGTGGTGGTAGGAGGAAGCAGCCTTTCTAAAGGAATCTGGTGGGTGCAGACATCAAAATATGGAATTAGGGGTGGAGAGGTGCATGGACTGGTCATTTTATCGTGTTTGCCTTTAATTGATGTACAGTTGAAGTAAGCCCTGTGTGCTCACTCTGTGGAGTAGGGGTCTGGGCTTAGAGGAGAGGGAGAAGGTCAGATGTGAGCCGGGGGCTTCCTCATACTCTGTCCCTTTGCTGAGGCTGATCTGGGAAGTCCAGTTCACCTGCGGGTGGGACGGTGGGAACGGCTCTGACCCCAGTCCCCTGTCTGAGGCTCTTTCCTCCCTGGAAGTCCCCGCCCCCCCTCAAGTCATCCTGACACCCGGAAGCTGAAACAGCAGCGCAGCCCATTTTGTAAGCTGGGACGGCTTTACAAAAAAGAGAGTGTAGAACTGAGTCACAGGATGTAGCTCTGTTCTCTGCCAAGCAAATCTGAAATTGTTACAAATAACGCTGCTTGACATTTGTGTAGCACTTTTATTTTTATAAGACACTTTCATATTCATTGTCTTTTGTGATCCTCAAAAGATTTGTGTGTAGTATGTATTGTTAGCCCCGTTTAATCAGTGAAAAGACTAAGTTACAGGGAATTAAGAGCCTCTACCTCGGTGTGCAATCCGAGCTGGGCAGTCCCTAGTGTGCATCTTATCATGACATAGTTTGGCCATTTCTGTTTCATCTTTTTCTTTTACATCTTTTAATTACATATTGAGTATACAAAATGATTTATGGACACATCTAAGAAATAAGAATCACGAATTTAAGAAATGAACATTACTGGGGCACCTGGGTGTCTCAGTCGGTTAAGCGTCCGACTTTGGCTCAGGTCATGATCTTACAGTTTGTGGGTTCGAGGCCTGCGTCGGGCTCTGTGCTGACAGCTAGCTCAGAGCCTGGAGCCTGTTTCAGATTCTGTGTCCTTCTCTCTCTGACCCTCCCCTGCTCAGTGTGTCTCTCTCTCCGAAGTAAATAAAACATTAGGAAAAAAAAAAGTTACCTTCACTTTTCAACCCACTGGATAGCCTTCCCCATCTCATCTCCTTCCCTTCCAGTGGAACCACCATCTGGTCGTTGTGTTTATTATTTCTTCTTTCTTTAGTAAGTTTTGCTACTAGGGCACCTGGGTGGCTCAGTCAGTTGAGCATCTGACTCTTGATTTCCGCTCAGGTCATGATCTCAAGATTCATGGGATCAAGTCCCAAGTCGGGAGCCTGCTTGGGGTTCTCTCTCTCGCTTTCTCTATGTGCCTATCCCTGCTCTCTTGTGTGTGTGTGTGTGTGTGTGTGTGAGAGAGAGAGAGAGAGAGAGAGAGAGAGACAGAGACAGAGAGACAGAGAGAGACAGAGAGAGAGAGGGATTGCACATGCCCAAAACAAACATTAAACAAGAGAAATGTTTAAAAAGTATATTTTGCTACTAATGTTTTCATCTTCTGTTTCAGAAAAATGTATTAAAAATTCCATCTGTTCACCACCCTGTAATGCCCATTGTATAGTACATGTAGGAGAGTTTGTTTCTGAGCTCTCTTTTCTGTTCCATTGATTGATCTACTTTTTTTTTTTTGCTAATGCCACTCCATCTTTTAAAAAAAATTTTATATTTCAATAGTAAAACTTGATATTGGTAAGGCGAATCTTCCACCTTGCTCTTCATTGTCAGGGATATCTCTGCTCTTCTTGGCCTTCTAATTTTAATTATTTCTTTCTTTATGGATTCTATTCCTTCTGTCTTTATTTTCCCAAAGGAAACAGTTCTCAATCTTCTATTCCATTAAAAATCTGCCATGTGCAATTGTGTCATCCCTGATGGTCTTCCCTGCAGATGACACAAATGGCCTCACAGTGGTCCAGTCAACTGGACAGCGTTCAGGAGCATGTGATGCCACGGGTCACTCTCTTTTGCACATGATACATTACTGGGTTGGTTTGCAACACACTACAGGCTCTGGTGTTCTTGGTCCTCTACTTTGTTATTATTTTTTTCCCCCCTCTCCTCTCCCTGTCTCTTCCCCTCTACTTTAAAATATACACTTTAGAGTGATCTTGTTAAGTCCCACAGAACAACTTGTTGGGGTTTTGTTTGACATCACATAGATTCTGTGGATCAGCTTGTGGAGAATGTTGAATCTTCCAATCCATGAACATGGTTTACCTCTCTATTTGTTTAGGTCTTTAACGTCTTTGAATAGCATGTGATCATTCTCACTAATACACACTTAATTGTACAATTTGTTGACAGTGTTGCAAATGGCATGGTTAAAAAAATTTTTTTTTGTTATTGGTATAGAAATGTAATTGAGTTTTACATACTTAAATATTTTAAATTTTGTACAAAATATAACAAAACTTACCATTTTAACTATTTTAAGTGTACAGTTTTACAGTGTTAAGTGTGTTCACATTGTTGGGCAACAGATCTCCAGATCTCTTTCATCCTGCAGAACTGAAATTCCACATCCAGTAAACAAAAACTCCTCATTTTCTACCCCTCACCTGGTCCCTGGCTCCAGCATGCTACTTTCTGTTTCTATGAATTTGACTGCTTCAGATATCTCATGTAAGTGGAGTCATACAGTATTGTACTTTTTGGTGACTGCCTTATTTCACTTAACATAATGTCTTTAAGGTTCATTCATATTATAGCATGTGACAAGATTTCCTTCCTTTTTGTGATTGAGTTTTGTGTTGATTTTATATTCAGAAACTTTGCTAAACTCTCTTATTATTTATACTAATTTAGAATCTTTTGGGTTTTCTTTAGAGCCAATTATTTCAATCTGCAAATCAAAGTTTTCCTTTTTCTTTCATAATACATATTTTGTTTATTTTTCTTGCCTAT